AATAAGTACAGTAAGAAAGTGCAGCTGTTTCCTTTCAGCCGTCAGTCCTCAGGTGGGACAACAGGTGAGGATATTAACTTTAATAACACACAATAACACAAAATAGAAATAACACACCTGTTTTTGTCATGACTGTTGTAAACATAACAAAGTTTGTAATACGTGAACACACTCTTCTTTTTAAATTTGTGTATTTGTTCAGATGGGGATGAATCATCAGATGGAGGTAATGGCAAAATATTTCTTTCTGTCCATCTCTTTGTCTTATCATTCATTTTTTACCTTGCTCAGTGTGTTTCAGTCTCTTGTTACAAGTTTTTGCTTTCAGCTCATCATAACTGCACCAGTGACCACATTAACAGTATCATTTGGTTTTACAGGTTCATCATTGCCGTATATTATTGTTCTTGCATGTTTAGTAGCACTCTTAATTGTTGTAGCATTCGTCATATGGAAGAAAACAAAAGGTGCAAACATTTCCAGATTAAACATATCACCAACAACTGTTTAATAAAGTTTACATTTCACTGTGAAAATTAAATTTCTTTTCAGGGAAAAAAACACAAATGGAAGACAATACTGTGAGTTTAAACACTGAAGTAAGTAAAGATGGCAATGGGTTTGCTGTAAAAAATATAGGCATAAAAGATAATGTGAAAATAAAATTATAAACATAAAAACAAAGTAAATAAACAAACAAAGTAAAATAAACAAAGTAAAACATCACAAACAGCTGCCTATCAGTATGTTAAATCCTCCATAATAAAGCTCATTCTATTATGTTTTACCAGTCCTGGGTGTAGTAGTAAACCCAGGACTGATATTTATGTACGTATGCAATGGAATAAAATATGTAATTCATATGTTACTTACCTGTGTTTGTGCAGGGATTAGGTTTAAACCCAGCTGAGATTCAGTCTGATCCAGGAAACAGTCAGGAGATGGTGAGATCAAACAGTATTAGGAGTTATATAGTTACTCTCAGAGTAACTATGATCTTTGTTTGATATATGATGATAATGATTTAATATAATTATTTAAAGGTGTCATTCTGTTGTATCCACTGTGTAGGATGATCCTGAGGATGGAGTTAACTATGCTTCCATCAACTACACTAAGAATTCCAGCAGTACGGCCAGTGTTCAGGTAAGTGTTTATGAGAGTGACATTATTCACAGCATGATGAGGTTTTGTGTTGGGTAAAATTTGTTGTGTCATTTTTCCTTTTAGGTCCACAATGATGAAGGTGACACTGTGACATACAGCACCGTGAAAGCTCCCACAGCTTCTCTTGAAGTCTCCGCTGATCCCAACAACCTGTATTCCACCATCACCAAATAAGATATTTAAAGATTGTTTTAATACTGTTATTTGGATCTTATATTTAGAGTTATATCATCTACTTCAACATTACATGGGTATACTGAAGGGTTTATAAAATAAATTTAGTTCAATTTACTGTCTATTTTGTTTATTTGTTGCTTATGGTTTTAGAAAATAAATAAATAAATAAATGAATAAATAGATACATTGGATTACACGTGTGCTGTTTCCTGTGCTTTACTGGAATTTAAAACTATTGCAGGGCTGCTAATTTACCTTCTTGTAATTAATAGAGAAACAAAAGCAGAAGCTTATGTAAAAAAAAAAAGCCAGTGATAGTTAAAAGACTGTGTAAACTGAGCTTTTTATAGCATTATCATGAACATTACCAGACCTCAGTAGCATGTTTGTCTTTTGACTGCCAAAGTTGTGTATGTTGAAGTTTAATTTTTAAAAAAGAGGAAACTACCAGACATCTGCTGCTATTTCCACATTCACACAGTTTGAGCTGCTACCAAGAAATGACACCTCCCTCAGTAACACCCACACTTATCACATGTCATTATTTCATAAGGCAGTGGGTCAGCTTTTTTATTAATACTATATTGAGTACTAAACTTTTCAAATATAAGAAATCTTAACAATTATACAACCTAAAAAGTCAGTGAAGTCAGCTGCACTGGGTAACTGTGTAGTTGTTTCTCTATCACTGCGAGGTTTTGTTTTGTTTTTTTTAACCACAAAAACACTTCCTGTTTTAGTGACAGAAACACTAAACATCAGTAAGAGAGATCAGC